GGCGTCTAGGCGGGACGCGGGCGGGATCGACGGGCCGGCGGGGCCGCTAGGAGGGGCGCGGGCGGGGTCGACGGTCCGGAGGGGGGCTGCGCACGGGCCGCAGCGGCGCGTAGGCTGCGGTTGCGCGCGGGCGGCAGCTGTGCGGAGGCGGCCGGCGTGCGAGCAGCTGCGGCGTGCCCGCTGCAGTTGCGCGCGGGCGGCAGCTGCGTGGAGGCGGCCGGCGTGCGAGCAGCTGCGGCGCGCGGGCTGCGGCCTGCGTACGGGCGCCGGGTGCGCGGGGCTGCGCCATGCGTGCGAGCGACGGCAGCGCGAGGCGGCGAGCAGCTCGCGGGCTGCGCGCGGGGCCGTACAGGGGCCGCGCGTTAGCGACGCTGGCCGCGAAGGGAGCTGACGGGCCGCGCGCGGGCGGCTAGCGGGTCGCGCGCACAAAAAACGAGCCGCGCGCGGGTGGCTAGCGGGCTGCGCGCGCGCGGTAGTGAGAGGCGCACGAGGGCGCGAGGGCGCACGAGGGCGCGTGGTAGTGAGAGGCGCACGAGGGAGCGTCGAACGGAACGGTGGGCCCGTAGTAGGAGGCGGTCCTAGGTGCCTAACCTAGGCTCGTAATACCATGTTAGAATGAACAAGAGTGATTGACTAGAAAGGAGTGAGAGTACAAACACGAAACCCTAGAGTTGTGACCCCCCTATAGACTAACCCACTATAGCCTACACAAATATAACATGTATAATGTTTGACACTGCAGGCGCGCATACCGACCAAACTGACCAGCGCATTATTTATGTTTGTAGAGACAGTTGGTACCATTTTCTTGCCAGTCTACTAGATTAGGCCTTGTGTTTTAATAAACCTAGGTTCTAACCTTTTCGATCCACATAATTTTGGAGATTTCAGAGTTTCAGCTACGCCTTGTACATGCACACAAGCGTGCATACCGACCGAACCGACCAACGCATTCATTTCTATGTAGAAACACAGCAAGTACCACATATGTTTACCTTTTCCTTTATAATATACCATTCCCCACCACCCTACCAAGTTCTAAACTTTTGGATCTACATTATTTGTCAGATACAGACATTCCAAACGTGCATGGTACCTGTACTACAGGCGCGCATGCTGACCAAACTGACCAGCGCATTACTTATATTTGCAAAGACATTTAGTACCATTTTCTTGCCAGTCTACTAGATTAGGCCTTGTATTTTAATAATACTAGGTTCTAACCTTTTCGATCCACATAATTTGGGAGATTTCAGAGTTTCAGCTACGCCTTGTACCTGCACACAAGCGTGCATACTGACCGAACCAACCAACGCATTATTTTCTATGTAGAAATACAACGAGTATCACATATGTTTCCCTTTTCCTATATAATAAACCATTCCCCATCCCCCCACCACATTCTAACCTTTTGGATCTACATAATTTGACAGATATAGACATTCCAAATGTGCATGGTACCTGTACTACAAGCGCGCATGCCTGTCAGAATCCCAGTCACTAACCACTGGGATAAAAGGGCTTGTTTGTATAGCGGGTGAGTGCGCCCATAACCCCCCAGGCCAACATGCCTGTAACCCTTCCCTAGGATCAATCGGGGATCACCAGTGGACCTCTGACAATGCCGACCAAACTGACCAGCGCATTACTTATGTTTGTAGAGACAGTTGGTACCATTTTCTTGCCAGTCTACTAGATTAGGCCTTGTATTTTAATAATACCACGTTTCTACCTTTTCGATCCACATAAACTGGGAGAATTCAGAGTTTCAGAACCGACCAATGCATTATTTTCTATGTTGAAATACAACAAGTATCACATATGTTTCCACATTCCTATAGAATATACCATTCCCCACCCCTTGACAACGTTCTAACCTTTTAGATCTACATAATTTGACAGATATAGACATTCCAAACGTGCATGGTACCTGTACTACAGGCGCGCATGCTGACCAAACTGACCAGCGCATTACTTATGTTTGTAGAGACAGTTGGTACCATTTTCTTGCCAGTCTACTAGATTAGGCCTTGTACTTTAATATAACTAGGTTCTAACCTTTTCGATCCACATAATTTAGGAGATTTTAGAGTTCCAGCTACGCCTTGTACCTACACACAAGCGTGCATACTGACTGAACTGACCAACGCATTCTTTTTAAGGTAGACATACAGCGAGTACCACATATTTTTCCCTTTTCCTTTACAGTATACCATTCCCCTCCCCCCTACCAAGTTCTAACCTTTTGGATCTACATAATTTGACAGATATAGACATTCCAAACGTGCATGGTACCTGTACTACAGGCGCGCATGCTGACCAAACTGACCAGCGCATTACTTATATTTGCAAAGACATTTAGTACAATTTTCTTGCCAGTCTACTAGATTAGGCCTTGTATTTTAATAATACTAGGTTCTAACCTTTTTGATCCACATAATTTGGGAGATTTCAGAGTTTCAACTACGCCTTGTACCTGCACACAAGCATGCATACTGACCGAACCAACCAGCATATTTTTTTCTTTGTAGAAATACAACGAGTATCACATATGTTTCCCTTTTCCTATATAATATACCATTCCCCACCCCCCCACCACGTTCAAACGTTTTAGATCTACATAATTTGAAAGATGCAGATATTCTAAACGTGCATGGTACCTGTACTGCAGGCGCGCATACCGACCAAACTGACCAGCGCATTATTTATGTTTGTAGAGACAGTTGGTACCATTTTCTTGCCAGTCTACTAGATTAGGTCTTGTATTTTAATATAACTAGGTTCTAACCTTTTCGATCCACATAATTTAGGAGATTTCAGAGTTTCAGCTACGCCTTGTACATGCACACAAGCGTGCATACCGACCGAACCGACCAACGCATTCATTTCTATGTAGAAACACAGCAAGTACCACATATGTTTCCCTTTTTCTTTAAAGTATACCATTCCCCACCACCCTACCAAGTTCTAACCTTTTCAATCTACATAATTTGACAGATATAGACATTCCAAACGTGCATGGTACCTGTACTACAGGCGCGCATGCTGACCAAACTGACCAGCGCATTACTTATATTTGCAAAGACATTTAGCACCATTTTCTTGTCAGTCTACTAGATTTGGCCTTGTGTTTTAATATAACTAGTTTCTAACTTTTTTCGATCCACATAATTTTGGATATTTCAGGTTTCAGCTACGCCTTGTACTTGCATACAAGCGTGCATAGTGACCAAACCGACCGACGCATAAATTTTTATGTAGAAATACAACGCATATTACAAATGTTTCCGTTTTCCAGTGTATTATACCATTCCCCACCCCCCCACCACGTTCTAACATTTTAGATCTACATAATTTGACATATATAGATATGCCAAACGTGCATGGTACCTGTACTACAGGCGCGCATGCTGACCAAACTGACCAGCGCATTACTTATATTTGCAAAGACATTTAGTACCATTTTCTTGCTAGTCTACTAGATTAGGCCTTGTATTTTAATAATACTAGGTTCTAACCTTTTCGATCCACATAATTTGGGAGATTTCAGAGTTTCAGCTACTCGTTGTATTTATACAAAGAAAATAATGTGTTGGTCGGTTCGGCTAGTATGCACGCTTGTATGCAGGTACAAGGCGTAGCTGAAACTCTGAAATCTCCCAAATTATGTGGATCGAAAAGGTTAGAACCTAGTATTATTAAAATACAAGGCCTGATCTAGTAGACTGGTAGGAAAATGGAACTAAATGTCTCTAGTAGACTGGTAGAAAAATGGTACTAAATGTCTTTGCAAAAAAAAGTAATGCGCTGGTCAGTTTGGTCAGCATGCACACCTGTAGTACAGGTACCATGCACGTTTGGAATGTCTATATCTGTCAAATTATGTAGATCTAAAAGGTTAGAACGTGGTGGGGGGGTGGGGAATGGTATATTATATAGGAAAATGGAAACATATGTGATACTCGTTGTATTTCTACATAGAAAATAATGCGTTGGTCGGTTCGGTCAGTATGCACGCTTGTGTGCATGTACAAGGCGCAGCTGAAACTATGAGATCTCCTAAATTATGTGGATCGAAAAGGTTAGAACCTAGTTATATTAAAGTACAAGGCCTAATCTAGTAGACTGGCAAGAAAATGGTACCAGTTGTCTCTACAAACATAAATAATGCGCTGGTCAGTTTGGTCGGTATGCGCGCCTGCAGTACAGGTACCATGCACGTTTGAAATGTCTATATTTGTCAACTTATGTAGATCTAAAAGGTTAGAACGTGGTGGGGGGGTGGGGAATGGTATATTATATAGGAAAATGGAAACATATGTGATACTCGTTGTATTTCTACATAGAAAATAATGCGTTGGTTGGATAGCCGAGCGTGTGCTCATTTGCCACCGAGATCAAGTTGCAAAGGTCTAGGGCGATACAATGGGTAGGATTGATTGCAAAATTCCCTGGCTGATTGGCAATTTTCTATACCGGTGCGAATTTTGTGAAAATAAGGCTAAAAACGCCCTGGATGGGCCAATTCAAAGGGGTGGGGTAGGCGAGCGTGTGCTCATTTGCCACCGAGATCAAGTTGCAAAGGTCTGGGGGGATACAATGAGTAGCATTGATTGCAAAATTTCCCGGCTGATTCGCAATTTTCTATACCGGTGCGGATTTCGTGAAAATAAGGCTAAAAACGCCCCGGATGGGCCAATTGAAAGGGGTGGGGTAGGCGAGCGTGTGCTCATTTGCCACCGAGATCAAGTTGCAAAGGTTTGGGAAGATAGAATGAGTAGAATCGATTGCAAAATTTTCCCCGGAGCGTCAGGATGCACTCCCCGGACGCCCCGGAGCGTCGGGATGCACTCCCCGGACGCCCCAGAGCGTCGGGATGCACTCCCCGGACGCCTCGGAGCATCGGGATGCACTCCCCGGACGCCCCGAAGCGTTAGGATGCACTCCCCGGACGCCTCGGAGCGACGGGATGCACTCCCCGGACGCCCCGGAGCGTCGGGATGCACTCCCCGGACGCCCCGGAGCGTCGGGATGCACTCCCCGGACGCCCCGGAGCGTCGGGATGCACTCCCAGGACGCCCCGGAGCGTCGGGATGCACTCCCCGGACGCCCCGGAGCGTCGGGATGCACTCCCCGGACGCCCCAGAGCGTCGGGATGCACTCCCCAGACGCCCCGGAGCGTCGGGATGCACTCCCCGGACGCCCCGGAGCATCGGGATGCACTCCCTAGACGCCCCGGAGCGTCGGGATGCACTCCCCGGACGCCTCGGAGCGTCGGGATGCACTCCCCGGACCCCGGAGCGTCGGGATGCACTCCCCGGACGCCCCGGAGCGTCGGGATGCACTCCCCGGATGCCCCGGAGCGTCGGGATGCACTCCCCGGACGCCCCGAGCGTCGGGATTCACTCCCCGGACGCCCCGGAGCGTCGGGATGCACTCCCCGGACGCCCCGAAGCGTCGGGATGCACTCCCCAGACGCCCCGGAGCGTCGGGATGCACTCCCCGGACGCCTCGGAGCGTCGGGATGGACTCCCCGGACCCCGGAGCGTCGGGATGCACTCCCCGGACGCCCCGGAGCGTCGGGATGCACTCCCCGGACGCCCCGGAGCGTCGGGATGCACTCCCCGGACGCCTCGGAGCATCGGGATGCACTCCCCGGACGCCCCGAAGCGTTAGGATGCACTCCCCGGACGCCTCGGAGCGACGGGATGCACTCCCCGGACGCCCCGGAGCGTCGGGATGCACTCCCCGGACGCCCCGGAGCGACGGGATGCACTCCCCGGACGCCCCGGAGCGTCGGGATGCACTCCCAGGACGCCCCGGAGCGTCGGGATGCACTCCCCGGACGCCCCGGAGCGTCGGGATGCACTCCCCGGACGCCCCAGAGCGTCGGGATGCACTCCCCGGACGCCCCGGAGCGTCGGGATGCACTCCCCGGACGCCCCGGAGCGTCGGGATGCACTCCCCGGACGCCCCGAAGCGTCGGGATGCACTCCCCAGACGCCCCGGAGCGTCGGGATGCACTCCTCGGACGCCTCGGAGCGTCGGGATGCACTCCCCGGACCCCGGAGCGTCGGGATGCACTCCCCGGACGCCCCGGAGCGTCGGGATGCACTCCCCGGACGCCCCGGAGCGTCGGGATGCACTCCCCGGACGCCCCGAGCATCGGGATTCACTCCCCGGACGCCCCGGAGCGTCGGGATGCACTCCCCGGACGCCCCGAAGCGTCGGGATGCACTCCCCAGACGCCCCGGAGCGTCGGGATGCACTCCCCGGACGCCTCGGAGCGTCGGGATGCACTCCCCGGACCCCGGAGCGTCGGGATGCACTCCCCGGACGCCCCGGAGCGTCGGGATGCACTCCCCGGACGCCCCGGAGCGTCGGGATGCACTCCCCGAACGCCCCGAGCGTCGGGATTCACTCCCCGGACGCCCCGGAGCGTCGGGATGCACTCCCCGGACGCCCCGGAGCGTCGGGATGCACTCCTCGGACGCCCCGGAGCGTCGGGATGCACTCCCCGGACGCCCCGGAGCGTCGGGATGCACTCCCCGGACGCCCCGGAGCGTCGGGATGCACTCCTCGGACGCCCCGGAGCGTCGGGATGCACTCCCCGGACGCCCCGGAGCGTCGGGATGCACTCCCCGGACGCCCCGGAGCGTCGGGATGCACTCCCCGGACGCCGCGGAGCGTCGGGATGCACTGCCCGGGCGCCCCGGAGCGTCGGGATGCACTCCCCGGACGCCCCGGAGCGTCGGGATGCACTCCCCGGGCGCCCCGGAGCGCCGGGATGCACTCCCCGGACGCCCGGGAGCGTCGGGATGCACTCCCCGGACGCCCCGGAGCGTCGGGATGCACTCCCCGGACGACTCGGAGTGTCGGGATGCACTCCCCGGACGCCCCGGAGCGTCGGGATGCACTCCCCGGACGCCCCAGAGCGTCGGGATGCTCTCCCCGGACGACCCGGAGCGTCGGAATGCTCTTATAGGGGAGTAGGTCTGGCTTGGTCCCGGCTCCAAACGCGCACTGACGTAGAATGCATACCTCTCAATCCGGAGCCCTCCTAGGCGATTCGTGATATTCCCCTCCAATCGTGAGGGAATCCGCACCTGTGTGGAAACTTGCTAGGGGGTGGGGGTCTTTGCATACGCTCGTGCTCATCATTACCTCTAGACATGTTCTAGCTTGGTCCCAGCTACAAACGCGCACCGACGTAGAATGCATACCTCTCAAACCGGACCCCTCCAAGGCAATTCGTAATATTCCCCTCCGATCGTGAGGGAATCCGCACCTGTGTGGAAACTTGCTAGGCGGGTTGGGGTCTTTGCATACGCTCGTGCTCATCATTACCCCTAGACATGTTATGGCTTGGTCCCGGCTCCAAACGCACACTAACTTAGGGTTTAGGGTTTGGGCGCCCACGATTCCGGCCGTTTTGGGCAACAAATGCATAGAATGCGCGCGGATCTCCAAAAGCGTAGGGAAAAGCGTTGAGCAACCTGAACTTTATGGCATATTCGAGTGGCACATGTTCAAGTACACCTATTGGAGCATTTTCGGCTTGGTTCGTGCGTGAAGAAAAGTTCGGCGCCCACGATTTCGGCCGTTTTGGGCGACAAATGCATAGAATGCGCACGAATCCCCAAAGGCGTAGGGAAAAGCGTTGAGCAACCTGAACTTTATGGCATATTCGAGTGGCACATGTTCAAATACACCTATTGGAGCATTTTCGGCTTGGTTCGTGCGTGAAGAAAAGTTCGGCGCCCACGATTTCGGCCGTTTTGGGCGACAAATGCATAGAATGCGCACGAATCCCCAAAGGCGTAGGGAAAAGCGTTGAGCAACCTGAACTTTATGGCATATTCGAGTGGCACATGTTCAAGTACACCTATTGGAGCATTTTCGGCTTGGTTCGTGCGTGAAGAAAAGTTCGGCGCCCACGATTTCGGCCGTTTTGGGCGACAAATGCATAGAATGCGCACGAATCCCCAAAGGCGTAGGGAAAAGCGTTGAGCAACCTGAACTTTATGGCATATTCGAGTGGCACATGTTCAATCACACCTATTGGAGCATTTTCGGCTTGGTGTGTGCGTGAAGAAAAGTTTGGCGCCCACGATTTCGGACGCTTTGGGCGACAAATGCATAGAATGCGCACGAATCCCAAAAGGCGTGGGGAAAAGCTTTGAGAAACCTGAACTTTATGGCATATTCGAGTGGCTCATATTCAAGTACACCTATTGGAGCATTTTCGGCTTGGTTCGTGCGTGAAGAAAAGTTCGGCGCCCACGATTTCGGCCGTTTTGGGCGACAAATGCATAGAATGCGCACGAATCCCCAAAGGCGTAGGGAAAAGCGTTGAGAAACCTGAACTCTATGACATATTCGAGTGGCACATGTTCAAATACACCTATTGGAGCATTTTCAGCTTGGTTTGTGCATGAAGAAAAGTTCGGCGCCCACGATTTCGGCCGTTTTGGGCGACAAATGCATAGAATGCGCACGAATCCCCAAAGGCGTAGGGAAAAGCGTTGAGCAACCTGAACTTTATGGCATATTCGAGTGGCACATGTTCAAGTACACCTATTGGAGCATTTTCGGCTTGGTTCGTGCGTGAAGAAAAGTTCGGCGCCCACGATTTCGGCCGTTTTGGGCGACAAATGCTTAGAATGCGCACGAATCCCCTAAGGCATAGGGAAAAGCGTTGAGCAACCTGAACTTTATGGCATATTCGAGTGAAAAATGTTCAATACACCTATTGGAGCATTTTCGGCTTGGTTCGTGCGTGAAGAAAAGTTCGGCGCCCACGATTTCGGCCGTTTTGGGCGACAAATGCATAGAATGCGCACGAATCCCCAAAGGCGTAGGGAAAAGCGTTGAGCAACCTGAACTTTATGGCATATTCGAGTGGCACATGTTCAAGTACACCTATTGGAGCATTTTTGGCATGGTTCGTGCGTGAAGAAAAGTTCGGCGCCCACGATTTCGGCCGTTTTGGGCGACAAATGCATAGAATGCTCACGAATCCCCGAAGGCATAGGGAAAAGCGTTGAGCAGCCTGAAATTTATGGCATATTCGAGTGAAAAATGTTCAAGTACACCTATTGGAGCATTTTTGGCTTGGTGTGTGCGTGAAGAAAAGTTCGGCGCCCACGATTTCGGCCGTTTTGGGCGACAAATGCATAGAATGCGCACGAATCCCCAAAGGCGTAGGGAAAAGCGTTGAGCAACCTGAACTTTATGGCATATTCGAGTGGCACATGTTCAAGTACACCTATTGGAGCATTTTCGGCTTGGTTCGTGCGTGAAGAAAAGTTCGGCGCCCACGATTTCGGCCGTTTTGGGCGACAAATGCATAGAATGCGCACGAATCCCCAAAGGCGTAGGGAAAAGCGTTGAGCAACCTGAACTTTATGGCATATTCGAGTGGTACATGTTCAAATACACCTTTTGGAGCATTTCAAGAACAAGGGCCTAGCGTCTGCAAAAATTCAAGAACAAGGACCTAGCGTGCACAAAATTTCAAGAACAAGGGCCTAGCGTCTGCAAAAATTCAAGAACAATGGCCTAGCGCCTGCAAAAATTCAAGAACAAGGGCCTAGCGTCTGCAAAAATTCAAGAACAAGGGCCTAGGGTCTGCAAAAATTGCAAGAACAAGGGCCTAGCGTCTGCAAAATTGCAAGAACAAGGGCCTAGAGTCTGCAAAAATTCAAAAACAAGGGCCTAGCGTCTGCAAAAATTCAAGAACAAGGGCCTAGCGTCTGCAAAAATTCAAGAACAAGGGCCTAGCGTCTGCAAAAATTCAAGAAAAGGGCACCCTAGCGTCTGCACAAATTCAAGAACAAGGGCCTAGCGTCTGTAAAAATTCAAGAACAAGGGCCTAACGTCTGCAAAAATTCAAGAACAAGGGCCTAACGTCTGCAAAAATTCAAGAACAAGGGCCTAGTGTCTGCAAAATTGCAAGAACAAGGGACTAGCGTCTGCAAAATTGCAAGAACAAGGGACTAGCGTCTGCAAAATTGCAAGAACAAGGGCCTAGCGTTTGCAAAAATTCAAGAACAAGGGCCTAGCGAGTGCAAAAATTCAAGAACAAGGGCCTAGCGTCTGCAAAAATTGCAAGAACAAGGGCCTAGCATCTGCAAAATTGCAATTACAAGGGCCTAGCATCTGCAAAATTGCAATTACAAGAGCCTAGCGTCTGCAAAAATTCAAGAACAAGGACCTAGCGTGTGCAAAAATTCAAGAACAAGAGCCTAGCGTCTGCAAAATTGCAAGAACAAGGGCCTAGCGTCTGCAAAAATTCAAGAACAAGGGCCTAGCATCTGCAAAATTGCAAGAACAAGGGCCTAGCGTCGGCAAAAATTCAAGAACAAGGGCCTAGCGTCTACAAAAATTCAATAACAAGGGCCTAGCGTCTGCAAAAATTCAAGAACAAGGGCCTAGCATCCGCAAAAATTCAAGAACAAGGGCCTAGCGTCTGGAAAAATTCAAGAACAAGGGCCTAGCGTCTGCAAAAATTCAAGAACAAGGGCCTAGCGTCTGCAAAATTGCAAGAACAAGGGCCTAGCATATGCAAAAATTCAAGAACAAGGGCCTAGCGTCTGCAAAAATTCAAGAAAAAGGGCCTAGCGTCTGCAAAAATTCAAGAACAAGGGCCTAGCATCCGCAAAAATTCAAGAACAAGGGCCTAGCGTCTGCAAAAATTCAAGAACAAGGGCCTAGCGTCTGCAAAAATTAAAGAACAAGGGCTTAGCGTCTGCAAAATTGCAAGAACAAGGGCCTAGCATCTACAAAAATTCAAGAACAAGGGCCTAGCGTCTGCAAAAGTGCAAGAACGAGGGCCTAGCGTCTGCAAAATTGCAAGAACAAGGGCCTAGCGTCTGCAAAATTGCAAGAACAAGGGCCTAGCGTTTGCAAAAATTCAAGAACAAGGGCCTAGCGTCTGCAAAAATTCAAGAACAAGGGCCTAGCGTCTGCAAAATTGCAAGAACAAGCGCCTAGCGTGCGCAAAATTGTAAGAACAAGGGCCTAGCGTCTGCAAAAATTCAAGAACAAGGGCCTAGCGTCCGCAAAATTGCAAGAACAAGGGCCTAGCGTCTGCAAAAATTCAAGAACAAGGGCCTAGCGAGTGCAAAAATTCAAGAACAAGGGCCTAGCGTCTGCAAAATTGCAAGAACAAGGGCCTAGCGTCTGCAAAATTGCAAGAACAAGGGCCTAGTGTCTGCAAAAATTCAAGAACAAGGGCCTAGCGTCTGCAAAAATTCAAGAACAAGGGCCTAGCGTCTGCAAAATTGCAACAACAAGGGCCTAGCGTCTGCAAAAATTCAAGAACAAGGGCCTAGCGTCTGGAACAATTCAAGAACAAGGGCCTAGCGTCTGCAAAATTGCAAGAACAAGGGCCTAGCGTCTGCAAAAATTAAAGAACAAGGGCTTAGCGTCTGCAAAATTGCAAGAACAAGGGCCTAGCGTTTGCAAAAATTCAAGAACAAGGGCCTAGCGTCTGCAAAATTGCAAGAACAAGGGCCTAGCATATGCAAAAATTCAAGAACAAGGGCCTAGCGTCTGCAAAAATTCAAGAAAAAGGGCCTAGCGTCTGCAAAAATTCAAGAACAAGGGCCTAGCATCCGCAAAAATTCAAGAACAAGGGCCTAGCGTCTGCAAAAATTCAAGAACAAGGGCCTAGCGTCTGCAAAAATTAAAGAACAAGGGCTTAGCGTCTGCAAAATTGCAAGAACAAGGGCCTAGCATCTACAAAAATTCAAGAACAAGGGCCTAGCGTCTGCAAAAGTGCAAGAACGAGGGCCTAGCGTCTGCAAAATTGCAAGAACAAGGGCCTAGCGTCTGCAAAATTGCAAGAACAAGGGCCTAGCGTTTGCAAAAATTCAAGAACAAGGGCCTAGCGTCTGCAAAAATTCAAGAACAAGGGCCTAGCGTCTGCAAAATTGCAAGAACAAGCGCCTAGCGTGCGCAAAATTGTAAGAACAAGGGCCTAGCGTCTGCAAAAATTCAAGAACAAGGGCCTAGCGTCCGCAAAATTGCAAGAACAAGGGCCTAGCGTCTGCAAAAATTC